GTCATAGACTTCGTATTACGGATAGAAACAGGATAGACGTGGCGGAGACTGAAGCTAGTTGGGTGATAATTGGTTTGTTTTTACCATAGACGTGGTCCATATAGCAAAGACTTGACCATGAGCTTAATCAGAGGCTTTAGTCTCGAATTAGTCATCCAATGCATGGGGTGGAAGAGGTTGAGTGAAATACGTGAGCCAGGGGTATAGCAGACAAATCTGAGGGGGCGAGAGAGACTGTGATAAGGACTGCGTAACAATATGGCAGATTCTGATCAACAATCAGAGTACAAGGGTGAAGGAAGTAAGAACGACAGCGTAGTGTGGAGGGTTTTCATGACTGCCGCTCAAAGAAGCACACGACACTACATCTAAATAAGCACGGTAAAAATTGTAACAGTGAAGGAGTGATAGGAGGATATAGGAAATGTGAATAGCCCAGGGCAGAAGAGATACCAGAAGTGTTTAGCACACGTTTGGTCAAAGGATCGGCTTCACTTGTCTCTTAGACGAGATGTAGTCCGGTGCTAAGAATGGAAAGGCACACTGATGATGCCGACTACTATGCCGGCGAAACGTCTGGAAATGTACCAAGTCCACGGTCCGACTCTGCAAATTATCATGCATACTATGGAGTCCGGACAAAGTGTGCTCCTCTATGTCTTCTTGCAAATATGACCAAGTTGCGAAAACCAGGTCAAACAACTTATATTTTAATTTTTCATGTTATCTGTCATTCCAGCCTCACGCCATTATTATCATTCCCTGGAATATAAATCTATTGACTATGCATTTTTACCTTAAAAAGAACACTTTTCACTACCATGAGAACACGTTCAAGGAAGTAATAATGTAGAAAATATAAAACAACGATAGTGGGAATAGAATTCCGAGCAATACGCACTCAAAATAATCTTCCAAACCTATGTACGGCGAATTTATATAAAATCCTAAAGTTTGAAGAAACGATATTAATTCACTGGTTAATATCCCCAATTATTTCACCTTCACCAAATGAATCAAGGCGAAGTCCTTCGAAGTGAATACGCTGGTTGTCCGGGAGGCAAGCAAGAGATATTGATAATATTTATCAAAGTTTGTCCTTAAACATCAAAAGTACATTTAAAATCATACCAAATAAATGCTATACCTGCTCGACCTCGCGAAGACCTGCTAACATAAAATGGTACTGTCGCCAAGTAGCACAAGCAAATGTTGGTACCAGGCAGAAGCAGACATGAAGAGCCGTCTTAAATTTGATTGCTAATCTCTGAGCGTAAAGCAGAGCCCAATTATCTATTTGAACAAAAAATAAAGGTTTATTTAATAAAGCGAAATATATAATCCATAAAAAGTCTGTTATAGCATAGGTATAGGCGTACACAGGTAGCGTGTTTGTATATTTCAAAGTAGCGACTAAACCTCACAATACTCATTGCAAAACAAAGGCACTTTAAACTATAGTGCTACAATTGCAGACTAAGCCCAATAGTTAGGAGATGGGCTTCTTCTACTTGAACTGCCTAGTTAGCTAAGTGCCTGAAAAATACAAAGATGGGGTTTATACATATCTTAAGATTAAAGATATTATAAACGAGTACAATGTAAATAATAAAGATTATAAATATCCAAAAATTCCCGCAAGATTACCCTGAATTCTTTGGTCACGTGACATCCAATATAATACACCTTTTTTAGTTGATCCAGCAGTAGTTGATAGACCTAAATCATTTTGATCTAAATTATCCACTGGAAATGCGTTAGGACCAGATAGCTGACGGACTCGGCACTTGGAAAAGTGAATAAGGCCTGTTGGTCCCACTTTCGTTTCTTCCGTTCGTCTCTTGGAGATCCGCTGCATCCAGCCACAAAAGTTATCTTCGAGTAGTTGAGCTTTCATGCCAGGAATCAGTTGCCTCCAGTGCGCTTGCGAACTGAGTAAGCATGTGAATAAAGATAATTAGGAAAGCAATATATGTCTTACAGTAACGATAATCAGTTGTTATCAGGTGAAATACTAAATAAGGAGAGAATAATAGACAACCCTAGTCTAGGCATTAGTTAGAGCGAAAGCGTAAACTCGAGCAACATAATGCGAGAAGAATTAACACCAACAAGTACCTAAAAAGACTGAAAGATGGCTATCTCAGCATCCAAACAATGTTGCGGTAAAATAGATCGACTGGAAAGTAGTGGAATTCTATTGATATCGAACAATAAGCTTCCTCATCAAGTAATTTCACACGGAATGAAAGTCACAACAATACTGTTATATAAGGAGATTTATCAAAATCCAATAAGCACTCACACCTATTTCCAACCAACGCGCCGATTCATTTGACAGAATGCCTATACAACATTATTAGGGTGTGCATGTGGAGATCCCATTTAACAGATAGAGCAGAAATTCACATTCAGAATCAGATCATAGTGTGGTTTATTGAGGCAAACATTAGCCAAAGTAAAAGGACAAAAAATCGGCCGCACTCCAAGTTAATTAAGCGATCTTAACTGAGGTAGTAGACTAAATGAAGGCAAGCTTAAATAGGAAATGAGAGATATCACGAGGGGTGATGACTAGGGTTGAGTGCTTAAAAATAACCTAAATCGAGCAGTAATACGTCTAGTAGATTAAGGCTTAGTGGAGTATTCCTGCTTAATGTAATGCTCTAATACATTTAATGGTTCAATTCAAAATTTAATGGACAAAGATTACGGTTATGGAGCTTAATTTCGAACCTTTATTCAGAGGGATGGAACGATAAAAGAGACTATCCCACGCATTGAGAGTTGCGCACGAGTTAAATTCCAACAATACAAGCTCTGAAGATAAAAAGACCAAGATGGTGTGGTCGCCGTCTCATTTCTATTTATATAGGCGAGTTGACCTCGTTGTCACTACTTAGTCTTGTTGTCAGAGTGATTTAGTAGAGCGCACCTAGTCCGAAGTCGTCTGCCATAGTAGTTGTCATAATTCCCAGCATCAGACAGTGGACTTGGTATATTCTCAAAGGTAACGCTAGCATCATCAGTGATTTCTGCTAAATTCTCCGTACCAAGCAACGAAGTCGTCAGAGCCAAGTGAAGTCAAGCCTTCGACAAAAGTTCTGCCGAAAATGGTTACACCATCACTCTCTGTCCTGGCATATCTATCTGCTCTTTACCCCCCCTCAATACCTATCAAAACTTCTCACTTGTTTACATTCCACTTGTCAAAATGTATGCCCCTTTGTGGCAAATCTAATGTGACTTCATAACACCTTCTAATCATCCCAACCCCATCTCTTTCGATGAGTTTCTAAAGTATGTAAACCAGATTAATGAAAAAATTCAATTCATGACGGGAGTAGAGGAAGATGAGCAGTTACCGTTCCTGGATGTTGAAGAGATTCGCTCTAATGGGACGCTCAAAAAGAAATTGTTCAGAAAGAAGTAGTATGCTGGGATAATATTCAATTTCCGTTCCAATCATAATTACAGGATAAAGATACGAATAATGAGAATGATCATCCGAAGCCTACGCTTAACGAATGTAGAATTCTAGGAAGGGGAGTTGAACAAATTGATTAGGATATTCCAAGGCAATGGCTACCATAGCGAAGTGATACAAATAAACATACGGGCCGTGAAAAGCTGATAGCAGAACGGGGACTATGAATGAATAGTAAGGACGATGAAGGATTCACAAAAGTGGATATGCATACCTTCCGGCAAAATAACTCAAAAACCATAGCCAATAATGAGGAAATGTAATATTCGGGTGACCATGAAAGAAAAGTCAACACTTTTGACGAGTCTACCGATGCAACATGAAAGGGCAAACAAATTGGATTGTTCACGAGTTTACTGTATCTCATGCGGCGCCTGCGAACATAAATATAATGGCGAAACAAGGAGAAAAAGTAGCATACATATCAAGGAACATCGAAGGCTCTGCAGAAAAATGAATAGCGAAAGATCAGAACCAGCGGAACACATCTTAAAGACTGGACACGAGATCAATTTGAAGGCAACAGAAAGAAGGGCCCATACGGTGACAACATAATAAAGCGGAAGATTAAGGAGGCCATTGTCATCCTTAGAGAGAACAATTTAATGAATAGGAGATTGGAGGAAGATAGAGTTAGCAATAACTTTGCCCAATGCTTAAGCAAACTCGGGGGAAAAGGGATCGCGATAAGGAAAATGGGGAGCGGGGTTTCGGCAATCAAGCGAAGATGTTATCAATAAGTGATGTCGTTTCGAATAAATCAGTACAACTTTGTGCGCCTGGCAGTCAGGGAGCTGGTCAGACGGATAAGCAGGCCGTGGCAGAAATTCGGCGTCACGGCCAAAATGTGCAAGAAATCCACTTAAGATGTCATACGTGACCAGAGGTAGGCGTCCACAGTTTGCTTAGGTAACATAGGTCTAATCGAGGAGACGACCGGTGAGGCCAATGCCTGATATCTGCAAGCATGGGGATCAGAGCCTAGGTGCTCTGCTCGGTGAGGCGGCAGTGTATGTGCTTCCAGGGCCTTAATAAATAAAACCTGGAGTGAAATCGACACTGGGACTGGAACCGAGTAAAATCGATCGACCAGAAAGATAATAAATGTATCTACGGGATCATGAGGGGATCCGGATTGAAGTCCGAGTCGGATTATCCGATCGAAAGAAAAGGGGTCGGGTAAATAGCAGATGTGATGAGGTCACACTAGATTTGCCACAAAGGGGCATAAATGTTGACGAAAGGAATGTGAACAAGTGAGAAGTGTGAGAGTGCGGGAGTTGGATAAGATGATAAACAGTATATAGATAGGCTATGACAGAAATAGGAATGATAGTATAACTTTTTTCGGCAGAACTTTTGTCA